TCCAGAGCTTAGCTCCTCCCGTATTCCACCAAAGATCCGAGAAAGCCCTACTTGGATGAGGTTGAACTTGAGCAATAAAATCTCCCGAAGCGTTAGAGCTGGACTACCGCCGCTTATTCATTTGTTAGTGAACTGTACCCACTCCTCATTTAAGGCAAATGTGAAGGATGGTCAATCGTAGAATCCCTAGTAAGTCGACTCGAACATAACGGTGTCAGATCGTAATTGGAGCTGAATCGGGCTCAAGGCACGTGGGGACAGGGTCAACCCTACGTTGTTACGAGTAACAACGGGGGGGGTCGTACTCAGTTGAGCTTGGACCCTCTCGGTGGCCAACAGTGGGATTCTTGGTAATATCGGATAATAGCCAGCACGTTACGTTTTCGTATGATGACTGGTACTAGAGCATCTATAAACAACGCTTCCCTTCGAATGAGCTTTCGAATGAATCAGCGAGTTAGAAGGGCGCCCGAGGCGTGGCGCGCACCAAGGCAAGGGATGTAGTGCAAGCGCATGCTCGAAGCTTTCTAGCACATCCTAAATTAAGCATAAAATTGGTCTTCCAAGAAGTTACGGGCAGTGAAACCTGAGAAAACTCGCGTTTTCGAGAAAATGGCTTGAAGATTACCCCTCAAAATAAAAAGTAACAACGAGACTAATTTTTAAACTGCTAATCTTTCAGGAACGCTTGGGTGCTCGTTAGAAAGCTTGAAACATGTAGTTTACTATACCGTGTTCAGCTTCCAAAATGAATGACTTTTAAGGAAGCTATGATTGTTTGAAGGTTAAAAAGTCGCGGTTCCAAAAAAATAGTAACGCAAACCCCCAAAAAAGTAACAACGGGACTAATTTTTGAACTACTGATCTTTCAGGAACGCTTGGGTGTTCGTTAGAAAGCTTGAATCCTGTAGTTTATTATACGTGTTCAGGTTCTCAAATGACTGACTTTGAAGGAAGTTATGATCGTTTAAAGGTCAAGAAGTCGCTCTGCACAGAAAAAAGTAACAACGTACTAAATTTTTATTAAATTAACTTTTGAAGAATTTTTACCCATGGTTGGAGAGAAAAGAATTTGTATTTTCCAAATCAAATCTTCGGCGCAGAAGCTCGAATATGAAGGAAGTTATAACCCTAGAAAGAGGTGTGTAAAAATCGTGTTTTAATTTTATTTTTTGCATAATAACTTATTCATTCCGAAGTGTTTGAGAACAAATGAGCACTCTCTAGGAAGAAGGAGCCACTTCGATCCAAAATCCACCTAAATCTTCCGAACTACCTGAATTGTAAAAAAGAAAAACTCCTCGAATTTTCACACTCCCCGTTCGACGCCTCTTGACCGTAAGCAAATGCGCTCCACCGTCAGGAGGCTAGGGACTTAGGTAGCAATAAATAGTGATGGCAACACTGCCTCTCCACAAGTGTTACACACAAGGGGAGGGGTTGTGTCAAATCACCCATGAAGGGGGGGTCGTAAAAAATTTCGAAGAGTAACAACGATAGGTTGATCCTGCGTGGGGACATGATCTTCACAAGTCTTTGGAGATGCCACAGTGCTGCCTCCTTGTCGCATCGGAATCGCTCCAGCAAATGATCGATACTCTATCCAGATCCCTTTTCAACGGCATTAGACATACCATCGTGATTGTCAGTCACAGGGTGGTTGGAGTGTGGGTTATTTTCAAATAAAAAATTCAACGCTGAGCAGAGTGAAGCGCCGGTTGCACTGTGGTTTGAGAGAGCATGCCCTCGCCTATCTTCTGGACAATCCTTGGTCTAGCATGACTTCCGAAACATTCCAAGCAGTACTCGTAAAAATTAAGGGCATTGAGAGCCCTCTCGCGAAATCGGTGTAATATCCATAATAAGTAAGCAGACAATGAGCTGGACCGTTGGCTGAAACTGCAAAGGTTGATGTTACGTCAGGAAGTATGTTGTGGATTTTCAGGAGTTCTCCCTAAAATTCTATAGCATTAAATGTAGTTTGTTGCAAGACTTATGAACCGACCTAATATATAGTGGGGTAAGAAAGTCAGTAAAGAAAGACTTGATGTCAGAAATTGAATAAACCGAAGAGGAATCGCAGGTGCAAAGTGTAATAACCGAAGCAGTGACGTGATGATAAAACTAGCCAGGGTCGACGAATCCAGGTGCACCCGAGAGAACATGGGCTACATTGTACAAAATAATCAGAAACGACGTCGTGACTTTGATAGACGTTGATCACCAAGATACTTCCGGACAAAACAGTCTGAGTAACGACAAAGAGATCAATAATTCACAACCTACGTTATCAAGCCCAGTGAGATTTCAACAAAACGAGGTAATTCAAAGAACGTTCGTTCTATAAAGCCTTCCCAACCTAATTTAACGAAATTTTTCGGCAAGCCCGAGGAATTCGCCGGTTTTTGGGCTATATTCGCAACGTTAGTCCATAAAATGAAGAGCTGAACGTGATCGAAAAAGTAATATTGGGATGGTAAGAAAGTCCTGAGCCGATTTTTCGAAAGCTCCAGAACTTTCGATTATTGATCGATACCTGGAATCTGCTGCATGGTAGATTATCGCTGTCGATCATACTTCCCCGCAGTAAGTATATATTGCCGGGTTGTCTTCTTCAACTTTAATCATGATGTCGATTCTACAAGAGCACTTTCGAGTGATCATTTTCAATAAATCTCGTTGCGGCGCAGGAGCAGTGGAGACCGTCAACATCATCAGCGCATTGGGAAGGAACTCCACTTTCATCACCAGTGCCAGACTCTGATTCGCAAGCTTCAGAGGAGGAGACACGGCTTCCGAAAACAAGTATAGGTTGAGAAGCCCCGAAACAACGAGACTCCGCCGTTCTCGGCGCTGTCGAAGAGGATCCGAAGGTTAGCACGCGCAGCTTTGTGATAAGTCTCGGGTGCACCCACCCCTCAGTCCTCGGTCCTTTTCACGCCCTCGCCACAGAGAACGCCGACCCGATGGATCCGTCATGTCTTGAACGATAGCACGCGGCCCAGGCGGATACCCATTTCTCAGTTCCTCTTTCTTTGTCCGAAACGAAAGGAGTTTATGGATGGCATGAGTACGAGAGATGAGAGTTGGGTCCTCTACGATTTCAACTAGCACAGTACCGGGTGGCTTCCTCGAGGAGAAGACTTGCCGACACAAGCAAAATCGAACCATCACTCCAAAAGCTGCCTTCTTTGTTGCTTCTGGGATTCGCGAGGATTGTTGTATTATGAGCTGCTCCCGCAAGGGCATACCGTTAACGGCGGCATTTAAGCCAGTCAGCTCCAGAAATTAGCGCATGCTGTTCGAGAAAAATGACCGAGACTAACTTCTGCCCACCTACTCCACGGTGACGAGGGCCCCACATGGCTAAGAAATGGATTGCAAAATTGGAAGAGCTGGTTTGGGACGCAGTTCCCCACCCACCCTATTCCCGTGACATTGCCCTCTCTAGATGTCACTTATTTCATCCCCTCAATGCATTCCTAGCGAAGAAAAATATCACCAAAGCTGAAGACGTTGAAAAAGCGGTCAGCGATTTCTTTGTTTCTCAGTCTACTCGGCTCAAGGAGAAGGGGTTCGCCAACCTGCCCATTTGATGGGACTCTGTAGTGAGTAACGATGGTGATCATATTGTTGAGTAAATTCGATTGTACACGGAATAAGAAAGTAAAGCAAAAAAAAGTCAAATGGCTCAGGACTTTCTTGCCATCCTAACTCAAGGAAAGTGTGACCCAATGGGGTGAAACGATTTTGGCAAAGTTCCCACGAGATATCGTGAAACCTGTTCCCATAGCAGGCGAAAGATTGTACAAGCAAACAATCGGAGATCTCATGGGTAAACTGAAGAGAGAGGTTGCCGCCAACATTTACGTCGAAAACAGGCTTGGCAACCCAATGGCCGGTGCCAGACTTTGCGATTGGAGCGATTGTGCAAAAATTTCAGAAGCGACGGATCGCTTGAGCGATCCTTCGCTGCAAGCGACGGGAGATTTACATGGCCGACCAACGATAATTCCGCGCCATCAGCTCGTAAATGTCCCGTCGCTAGCAGCTCCCTGCACAACGGCCAAGGCACTTACCACGGCCCGAGCAGAGCGAAGTGCAAAGCAAGCAAAGTGCGAGCGACGGGAGATTTACGAGCTGGTGGCGCCGAATTATCGGTGGTTGGCGGTGTAAATCTCGCGTCGCTCGCAGTGCGAGCGACGGGACATTTACGAGCTGATGACGCCGAATTATTGTTGGTCGGCCGTGGATTGCTCAAGCGATCCGTCGCTCCTGCAATTTGTGCACAATCGCTCCAATCGCAAAGTCTGACATCGGCCAGTCGAGCATAGGCCTGGCCAAACAATCAAAAATAAGGTCACCATAATGAGGAATGACAACACTTTACGACCTCATCCTAGACCAGAGTGTGTTTTTGCGACGTAGGCAACCATATGTCGGCATAATGTAGGACAGTTACTGACCAAAGCAGCCAGAAAAACATCAAAGGATGAGAACAGATGTTGGAAATGTTTTCCCGCAAACCACAATAGTCACAAATGTAACAAATCGAATTGCATTCACTGCGGACAAAAGCGCCACCCATCACTGAGCTTCAGAATCGCCAACAATCAAAATGCAAGTGAAAACACAACCAATTAAAGCAGACCATGGGATCAAACATGGCAAGCACCCTTTCCAATGAATCTGAATCGCTCAAGACCATCTAACCAGCGTTATGGTGAATCTCGGAATAATCGCAGAGATTCAAATATCGCTAATGCGTTGACTTGCACCGAAAACACGGAGAATAAAGACTGCCAAGACAAAAACACATTCTAACAGCTGGTACTAATGACAGTCGAAGAAATACTTGGATATATTCACAAACACAAAACTACGAGAAAATACTTTTCTTCGACATGCAGCGCAAAACCTTTCATCCAGGAATCACAGGCTACAAGGCTTGGTCCTCCTAGCCAGACTACTGAAATTTGTAAATACAATGGGCATTGGAGGCCACTAAAAAATTTGAAACCCATATTGTCGGCGTCAGAATCAGTACAGCGTTCGGAGAAGAAATAGAACCCAATTTTCAGACGAAACCAGTCATCTCAACTTTTTCTCTTTCCTTTAAGCTTTTTTCCTGGTTTCCCAAACTGAATCTAAGTTCGACGGATATAAATTTCTAAAAAACGAACAACATTTGTTTGGCTAACTCCAAACTCCGTGGAGAAGATACCGAATGTCCTCGAAGCAGGGTCAACCCTGCGTTGCGCAAATTCCAAATTTTTTTGCGACCCCGTCCATTTCGAGGGGTGTTAGTGCGACCCCCCCCCTATTGGACAAGTGTGTTTTTTAGTGTTACGGTGTATCTCTGTGTGTATCAACGTCTTTGTCCAATAAAGTTGAAGAGTGCACATGGCTTCTTCTCTTTATTTCTGAAGAAATCCCGAAAATAGCACATTTTCTTCACACGCCACCATTATCCTCCATTTCATGGAGGAAATCGAAAAAGTTTCGAATTTTCGAACAAAAGAGATCACTGTTTCATTGAAAGCTCGATCATGGGTAGGTTGGAGTTCGAATCAGGCAGAAGTGATGGCTTGGTTTTCATTTTCATCCCTGGAGTCTTGGTTCCTGTTCCTCCTTTTCCTATCCTGTTTTGTATGAGCCGGAAAACTGGATACTGCAGTCAGTAATTACGTCCTGATTTGAAAACGATATCTTCGTTCGTCGACGCTTCATGGTAACCGGACACTAAATTTTATAAATTCAAATACTTTTTCTTTCAGAAAAGCATTGAAATGTTGCGGAATGTTCAATATTTGACAAGAAAGCGTCCGGATTCGTATCCGTTTTTGTGCCAACTAGCGAAGTTTTTCGACATTCAAACATTCACTAAACTTTATCATAATAACTTTTTTGAAACATGTCAAGGTTAATGAGAAACTAGAAGATTTAGACGCTTTCAAAACGCGCCTTGGAAAATTTCCAGCGATTCATTCTTTTCAAAAATATAATCCCGTCGTCCCGTTTTCGGGGGTTGGGGCTCCGAATTTTGAGAAAGCGTGAGTTTTACCGACATTAAAGCATAAACTTTTCGTATTTCAACTTTTTGCAAATGTCTAAGGACTTAACTAGAACACTAGAGATTTAGCAGCCTTCGAATTAAGGCCTAAAAACTTTTTTGAAAAAGTCACTCGTTCAAAAAATAGCTACCGTCGTTTCAGTTTTTTTCCATAGGACTTTTCTAAGCCTTATTCTCTGAACCGCGATCATTGCAAATAATTCAAGACATTTAAGTCCTCAAACTTCATGAAATGAGAGCGGTAAAAGACGTTAGTAATCTACGCGAAAAGTGCTTTACAGCTTAGAATTTTCAGGAATTCTTTCTTTTGCTTCAATTTTATAAGAAGTCTTTGGAATTCAATTCAGCAAGTTCGCATCATTTTTGTTCGCTTAGATTGTGATTTAAAAGCATCAAAATTCTGGAGGAGTTTGTCTGCTGACGGCCGCTCACAGAGGAAGGCGGTTTTTTATGAGGAACGCCTCCCTCGAGTATACGCGGTTAACCCGAGCAGGCTTTTCAACAGATTAACCTGTCTCTGTGGGTGGAAAGTCGACTCGCCATTGAGGTCCCACGTCTCGGAAGAAGAGTGATTTTAGTACATGATCGAACTAGCATTTAAATGTTTGGCAAAGGTCTATTGTAGAATGTTTTATGGTTTTGAGGTTGTTTATTCCCCATGAATTCTCATACAGTAGAAATTATCAATCGATACGCTGGAAATTGGATTATTATTGCTTAAAGTTTCGGCACATCATACAAATAACCGCCTATATTCATAATTAAGCTGTGTCTAAATAGAAATGTGCTGAAAAATAAGAATTTTTTCACGATGTCAAATATACATGCAGGGTTCATGCAGGTTACGAAACAGCCAAGCCTGAAAATGATTGCTATATAGACAAGGGGAGCGTTCAGGGTGTGTGGAAGTTTTTTCAGAACTCGGTTTTTTTGCAATGCTGGTAGGACTCTTACGTTTGACCACAAAGACTTGCGTTTTCGTTCTTTCGGCTGCAGCGGCCCCCTGAAAGGCCAAAAAATGAGATTCGAAAAAAATACGTTAGAAGGGGTGGTTTTTGCTGTTAATGGAGATTGAAGTTTAATCGGACCTGACAAGAACGACCACATGCAATTTGAAGGGCTGCAGATGAAGATATATCGAAACAGACTCGAAATTTCTCAAAAATTGAGAGCACTTGACGTAGGTACTGCTGAAGAAAGTGTAGAGGTTTCATAGGCGTCGTCATCATCCCTACACATCGCGGTGAGAAGGTGCCCGAGTGGATAGCGTGGTGGACTGGGGTTGGCAGGACTGTGGATCGAGTCCGCTCCTGAGCCACCTTTTGCATTTTTGATAATCACCTCCAAATTGGCGCCAAATTGCTTCAGCGTCAAAATTAACGCTATATTCTCATTCAGGACCGTCAGTAGCCCTTGCGAATGGGTTTCCCGCCAAAAATTGGAAGAAAAAGTTCGCTGGCGCCAAACTGGCGCCAAATGGCGCCGACGTCAAAAACGAACGCCATAATCGTGTACAGGACCCTGATCTACCCCCACATGCCAAATTTCAGGAAAAATCTAGGTTTTGACCTAAATTCGAAAAAGAGGGTGGCCATGGGCTACAGGTATGACGATCTGTAGCCGAGCGACTTGAATACGAGTGCGGCGCCGAAATCAAGCGCAATGCCTTGTCGGCTCACGGGAACTAAAGTTCGGTTTCATAGGGAACATCTTGTCGTCCATCATGTCGCAGTCCTTGAAATCGCTCCATCTATGGACATGCAGCCTTGCGAGTGGAGGAGCCGTGGACCCAATTATCACGACTTGATGAAGGGGAGAATCTGCCGACTACAAAATCATGGTGCCCTGTTGCACATTACCAGCCTGGGTTTCTCCCATTGTCCATTTAGCAGTGATACTTCTCGTTATTTGAGAAGGATAACTGGGAGCTCGTTTCCAGTGCACCGGTTGGAGGCAACTATGGGCTAATGACCTATCACTGGCCAATTTTTCGGATCCAGGTCAAATTCTCAATTTTCTCAAGAACTTCTGATTTAGGGAATATCGAGTGCCCTGATCACGAATATGACATTAATTTTATCCGATAGCTTCAATTTAGGCTAGTTTGGCGCCGTTTGGCGCCTTTCTGGCGCTACAACTTTTTTCCACAGATTCTGAAAAAAGTATGACTGCATTTCTTGCTCATGGTCTTAATGATGAGTACGATACCTAGTACTGGTGCTGGCGCTATTTTAAGGAAATTTCGAAGCTCCAACTAAAGTGCAAAAATTCTGTCATCAACAGGGATTGAACCTTGGACCACTTCCCTACCAATTTTTGGCCTTCAGAAAGCCGCTCAGCGAAAATGAAACATAGTATTGTCGTCCCCGTGAGAGCCCCTACAGCATGCAAAAAACCGTTTTGGAAAAGCGCTCCACACCCTGAACGACCTCCCTTGTGAGTTTATGGTAACTTCCTGTCTTTTGGGACCATTCCTCCCAGCCTTTCACCCCCTGGTCCCTCTGTATGCGACCCCCCCCCTTTCGTCCGGCCAAATGCGACCCCCTCGTTGTTCTTTACGCAACGTAGGGTTGATCCTACCTCGAAGGCTCAGACCATTTCCACGAACTCGTAGAGAGTCCTAAGTCCAAGTGGAATGCAAACTCCCTTTGGTCTACTTATATTAAAGACCGTCTTCGGGCCTAGAATATACGGCAAAGGTAAAATCGCAGCTCCAGATAGAAACACAAATGAAAATATCTGTTACGGGTTGACAGCATTCACAGAGCCCGGTGAAAAGGAAATGCTACAAAACTCGATGGGTTAGGAATTCCCAGTGATTAGCCTAAGCCAGCAAAATGACAAAACATTCGAATACCTCGGAGAGTACTCAAAAAAGATTTCCTTTCAAAATGGACGCATTACAGAACCGTTTCCTCTAAAGGATAACGTATTGCAACGGGAAGATAGCTACGCAGCATCCATTCGCCGCTTGAATCTCTTCAAAAAACGCTTCAGCGAGACTCCGAGCAGCATAGCTGGTACTGCAAAATACTTCAAAAGTACGTAAAAGTAGGTACAGTCGGTATCTCGAACTATGATTGGGCGATGTCACAGGAAATGACGTGGCAGCCATCGCACTTGCTAGATGCCAAGTGGATAAGATACTCCGGCAGATATCAGCGAAGCATGCTGGAAGCAGCTATCCGCGCAATTTCTATCAAGTGCGGTGGCTGCCACGTCATTTCCGGTGATACGCCCAATCAGACTTAGAGATTCGGAGTGTATGATTGAAACCTTCTGCACGTTAGAACGACCAACTGTTGGAAACTGTTGCATGCCGACTCAGGTTTATGGAAAGCAGGCAAAACCGTTCACTTAGAGTGGTCTTCGACGCATTTTCCAAGAAAAGAGTCAGCTTTCTCTCAACGATGTAGTTCATGAGGGAGTCTTTCATTAACAAAATCCAAGACATTCTAGTCGCTTCTAAGACGAAGAAGATCGTTCTCATGTGTGACATTGAAGCAGCGTTCACGCAAATCCATCTCTTGAAATCACATGAAGTCTTTGCAGTCTTTTGTGAGTAAAAAACGTCAATCTACCACCTACAAAAGACAATCTAACCCACTATTGATTCAAGTGACTACCTTTCGGGGTGAAAGCCTCACCAACCATACTAAATATGGCGTTAACAATCTCCTTGAACGATCAAAATTCAACACTAGCTACCGAAATCATGCGTGACTTGTATGTGGACAACATTACGATGCTAGCGGACCTGCAGAAGAAGCTGTTGAAAAGTACCATCAATCAAAAACTCTTTTAGCTGATATCGCTATGAATCTGAATAAATTTTCCAACTCAAGCGAAGTCGTCTCGCACAAGAGCTACAATAATTGGAGTCTCAATGGCAGCTGGCCTGAGCATCAAAATTGCAACCAAACTCGAGGGAATAACCGAGATCGCAATCTCAACCGACAGCGAGATTGCACTATTCTGAATCACAAGTAGTAAGAATTTACCACTATTTGTAGCCAACCAGTGCAAAGAGATACTCAGTTTAAAAAGCGAACTTCAAAAGCAAAGCCCAGCAGTTACCCTCTTCCACGCCAAAACTGTTCATAGTTCGGCTGATGTCGGAACAATAGGACTAAATATGACCGAAATCAATCAGCCGAGAGGAATGGCCAGTAAAAAACACGGACTTCGTAAACACAATCTGTGAGGAAACAGAGGTATTAACCCTTCCCATTACCGAAAATCTGATAGAGTACAGAAGGGAACTGGGGACTTTGCTAGATTTGTCACACTTTTCAAGTTTAAACAAGGCACTGAGAAGTAATTTCAGCACCAGGCCAGGGCTACCGTACTCCGGTTGGAGCGCCAAATGAAGCGCATTCTTATCGTATGCACACACCGGGAACTGAGTTTGACGCCTAGGAATTTTGAAATGGCATGTGCGCTCGTACACGCTGGATTTATTGCACACACAATGCTTAGAAGTGTCTAACCATAAGTGCTCTGAAGACATCATGTAATACAAAATATGATGGGAGCTGCCATTGCCACTGACTAGGTTTGTTCTCATAAATGGTGTCCGGATAGTCCGGGTAATGTTTTCTAGATTAGTCCGGCTTGTCCTTAATTTCGGGTCCTGTGGAAAGAGGAAAGAAGAAACTTTTTGGACGATGATGAGAGTGCTTGAATATTTGATTTCTCGATGTAATTTTTTTCGAAAAGATCAGCGGCACTGTCGTAGGTAACGCAGTACAAAAAAAAACCCCACGAAAGAAAGTTATACTGCAGCATGAATCACTATCTACTCTGAGTTCCTATAGATTCTCTTAGCATTTTAATTATTATCGTATCGCCGAACTACAGCCCGCACTGAACAGCTCCAAGACGCAGTCTCCCGTTATGAATTTCCCAATTTTGCACTACTGGATGCAGCCGTCGTATTTTTGGCAGGCACAAAATTGTGACCAGAAGATAGAATGGGAATGTGTATGACATCCACAGAACGCTGTGATTTTCTTATGGTTAGAGGCGGGAATAGCTGAGATCAGGATGAAGCGCCACTAAATAGTGTGCTCATACTACATTCGTTAGAGGCATACGAAGGATTCCGGTGTGCAGCGGAAGTGAAGAGAAGTGTGCAACAAAGAACTTTTCAAAATTTTCCTCCGTCATTCTACTGAACTTCCACTCTAGTAACATCACTGCTTTGTCGCCACAACCGTAGTGCCCCCTGTTACATTCAAATCCGCGCTCGATGAGCAAGGGTTAGATGCCGAAACTGCAAATATGATTGCGAGTGACAGGTGGGTCTACGGATCTCTTTCACTGGAACCTCTCTCACTGAAAGATCTTTAGCTGGTCGGTGGCGAGGCTACGTGGCGCGACCACAGGCGGCGGGTAGGAGGTAAATTGCGGACCATGAGCCACCATGTATTAGGTTGTAAGGAAAACTCTGGCCGTTTCGGACCCTGAAGTTCAAATGCACATATCTCGACTCAAACGCAACATTTTCGATCGCAATAAAAACCTGCTGGATCTACTCCTCCTTGCGAACATTCCTTGCACTTTTGCAAACATTCCGCTCACCAGAAGTACTGTAGTTCTACAGGCCTATGAACTAGACGAACTTGTCATTATCATCACTCAGATTTCGTAGCATTTCTCTTTTAGGGTGCTATCCAGACCTTTGAAAAAGCGGCGGTGAATAGGTAAGAGGATTAGGGAGTAGGATGTTTAGGGTATAGTTCAGCCCCTCAGCTAGTGTTTTTTGCAGGGTCGGTTCTGCGGTTGATGGTTGAGGTGCATCTCGGCAAACAATCGGGACATTTCTGGCAACCCTTGCTGGGCATATGGGCCAAGGTTTCAGGTTACTTCTGCACCCTGCAAATGATGCGGTCTTACTATGATAGTTCCGCCTGTGCTCGGAGAGTTGCGCCTGCAGTAGACTGCGTGAAAGGCAGAAGAACCTTCTCCTCGTGCATCTCACCTTGCGAATTTTTGTTAACCCTAGCCTTGATCGAATTTCTCAGCCGAAGACTATGGATTATTGAGAGGAATGTATTCTACATTGCAACTCTTAACATGAACATAAAGCGATCGTTTTCTTCGGATGAAAGATTGCAGAAGAAGGGCAGACGGCCCTACGGAATCACAACTTTTCGCAACCCCTAGTTATTGACTTTCCGTGCTTTTTAAGCCATCCCAAGAATCTTGAAACCATAAATCAAATACACACAATTCAGTAGCGGTCTTCTGAACTGTTTTAAGCACATTTGGTTGTATCAAATGTTTCAGTTGATTTTTACCTAAATTCAACATCCAACGGTCACCCTCGCCAACTTCGAGGATATCGCCGTCCCTGCATAAGCTTCCAAACTACCGCTTCATGGCTTATTTTTCGCAAGTGCATGACCAAACGAATAATTCATATTTTGGACTTATTCCACTCCTTTCTGCCCTTGTTCGAGGTAGAAGAAGAAAATCGTGAGGACTCGCTTGGTGAGCATGTTCCATTCAAGGCCTCAAGAAAGTGGAAGCAGTCCATCTAGAGCAAAGTTTACATCGTCTTTGGATAGAGCAGAAAACACGCTTTTCAGCGATATGCAACTCGTAGCAGTCTCCCGAAAATTTAGTCAGAGATGATGCCATGAAATATGAACTATTGAAAACGGCCAGAACTTTCCTTACAACCTAATACGTGCCCTGAAACGCAGCTGGATTCAGGATATGGACTCCCTATTTCTGTAGTGCTGTGTCGATTCATACCAGCTGTCTCCACTCAGGCGTATCCATGCATGCTTACGTGTGTTGTGCGCTCTGTGTGTGTGCAGTTGGTATCCTGCATGTCAGCTCACTCAAAAGCTTGCAATTAAGTGACTGGGAAGTACATGGGGGCGATTGGGGGTCGCATCCAAAAACTAAGCCCTCTGTTCCGCTCCAGTATAACGTGGCTAATTACCTGGATGTGTATCCTAGCCTACACGACAAAGCCTGGCAAGCTACTCGTGTGCTTTCAATATGCAGAGAACAGCAATATGGATGAGCCTCATTCCCCTGAACCTGAGTGAGCCCCCAATGCGGCAGCATTGGGTAGGATCGCTCAAGAGAGGATGCTAGAATCTCAGGGCCCGGATAGGCCGCCTAGACGAGTAAGGACTAAGATGGCGATCTGTACTTTCAACGCACGAGCGCTTGCATCCAAAGCTCACATCGAAGACCTAACGATGCAGACCAGAAAGATCAAGTACGACGTCATCGGACTGGGCGCGACGAGAAGGCACCACCCGCTTTACGCCGTTTTCGATTATGGAGAAGAACTGTTCCTTGGAAAATGCGACAGTAGAGGCGTAAGCGATTTGGGTGTCCTCGTCAACACGCACTTGGCCGTAAAGATCGATTCGTACGAAAGCGTTACGACCCGAATCAGACGTTTGAGATTGAGAAGATGTGGTTCAACCCCTGCTTTGACAATCTTCGTCGCTTATTCACCAATATCCAGCTACGACGAAGAACACGAAGCATCTTTTATGGAATTGGAGAAGTTCTACAGAGAAGACCATGCATTCTTCAAGGTCATCGTTGGCGACTTCAACGCTAAGATTGGCCCAACAAGAACGGCGGAAGAACTTCACATTGGTACTCACGGAATGGAATGGAATGAGAAGAATGAGGTACTGTTGGAGTTCATCATGTCGACCAACACCATCTATGGTAACTCACAGTTCCAAAAGCCCCCTCACCTTCGTTGGACTTGGGAGTCACCTGATGGATAGTTCCATAACGAAATAGACCACATCATCTTCAATCGAAGGTTTTATCTGACCGACATCGCTGTTGTTCCAAAGTTCTGCACGGAATTGGACCATCGTCTTCTCCGCGCAAGATTCCGCTTCTCAATGCGCGTTGAGAGAGAAGCAAAGTACAAAAAGCGAAGCCACAGGACAGTCATCAACTGGGACCACTTCACTTCTCTCCTCAGCTTATGGGAGGATTCCGACATCAAAACATCGACGAGGAGTACTATCAGCTCGTTGAACATCTTGACGATAGCGGCAGGAAAGCAGAGTTTGAAAGGCACCAAGGGACGTCTGTCCTCGGAAACCCGAACGCCAGCGTGAAGCCGCACGAGCTGCAGGCAATCACCGACTCCGAGCTGCGAAGCTTTGCAGAGATGCGATAAAGGAAGATCACAAGGAGGGAAGAACAGCAGTATCAGCTGGAGCAGCAGAGGCTGAGAGGAGCATCCGCAATGCCCGCCAAAGCTTTGCCGGCTACAAGACCAGGATGACCTGCATCCGACGTCCAGATGGAACAGTTACTACATTCCGAAGGGCAATGGAGAAAGTCATCCACGACTTCTACTCGGATCTGTTCGATAGCCATATCCATCTGCCTACTTATCAACCGCAAGAGGATGGATACGTTGTCCCTTCAGTTCTCTCTTCCGAAGTCCGACACGCCATCAAGTCGGTGAAGAATTGTACAGCATCCGGTCTTGACGGGTTAAACCGAAAGATGTGAAGAGCGCTGATGTTCCGCTGATGTTTACGTGAGTTATCACTAAAACTCTGGATCGACCCTTTACGCGTTTCCTCTTGGAATGCAAGAGGAAACGTGATACACCCACCTCGTGGAAAACCAGCAGGACTGTGCTGTTGTACAAGAAGGGGACTTGGACGACATTGGCCTGTAATCTACAAGCTATTCACTGGAGTCATCCTTAACAGGACCGGCAGAATACAGATGAAAGACAGCCATGCGAGTAAGTACGGTTCCGAAGAGGGTTCAGCAAGAGCGACCATATCCACCACGCGGTTGTGAAGAGCTCCTAACCAGCTATTCACTGGAGTCATCCTCAACAGGATCGGCAGAATACAGATGAAAGACAGCCATGCGAGTAAGTACGGTTCCGAAGAGGGTTCAGCACGATCGACCATATCCACACGGTTGCGAGACTCATTGAAGTATCACGAGAGTAGTAGATGCCGCTTTATATTACGTCCAGCAACTTCAAGAAGGTCTTCGTTTCTGTGGAGACAGAAGCGGTTCGAAGCTTCGGGCAACCAGGGCGTCCCTACTCATCACATAAAGATTCTTCGTGAGCTCTACAGCAACTTTGCGACCAGAATCTCACCATTCTACAAGGGGGTCATCGTCGACGTCAAGAGAGGGGTTCGACAGGGCGACACCATCACGCCCAAACTCTCCACTGCCGCTCTCGAAAACGTCATGCATCAGTTGGAATGGGAAGACGTGGGAGTGAAGGTCGACGACCGGCAACTACACCACCTTCGTTTTGCTAACGACATCGTTCTTATACCGCCAAAGCCTGCCAAAGGTCGGTATGCAGCTGAACCTAACGAAGACGATGTGTGAGAAACAGTCTGGTTCCTGATGCCCCATTCACGCTCAACGGAACGAACATCACCGAATGCTCCAGCTACGTGTACCTAGGTCGGGAAATCAACATGATGCGCGATCTAGCTCCAGAGCTGAGCAGGAGGAAACGAGCGGCATGGGAAGCATTTAGGAACATCGAGGGAGTAGTTAAGAAGACGAATAACATCCGGCTCCGTGCCCACCTCTTCAATCCCGCGTTCCTTCCTGCCTATCTACGCCTCAGAGACTTGGACTCTGCGCAGGCAGGACGAAATGCGGTCAGCGATAGTTCCGAACTACGTCAACGGTCGAAGATCAGGGACGCTGCCGTTTTTGCCAAGGAATCGAAGATAAGGTGGGACACGTCATGCAACTCGGCGATGACTGTTGGACCAGAGCGATTACCGACTGGATTTCTCGTGACGTCAAACGAACAGCTGGACGACCGCCGGCCCGATGGTCATACTTCTTCGCGAACGTTCTGGACGGAAGGAATGAGCGGCTTCGTGTCCGTCGAGCGAGGAGGATCTACTGGGCCACTCTAGCACGCGACAGTGACGACTTCCAAAACATCACTGCTATATAAGCTTTCGACGCTAGTATATCTCAATTTTTTATTGGCTTGTCTCATTATTCCTGTCTCAATTTCGACACTTTCGTTTGTTCAAGTTCTATCACTCCTAGGAAACGGCTGACCAACAGCATAACCACCGCCATGGTCACTGATATGCATGCATTTCCTAAGGAAGATTTGGAAGCTTTCCTCTCGAAATGAGTGAAGCTAGGAGCTAAAAAATTTGGAGAGGTCGTTTTTGAAGTGATCACAATCTTTATCTTTTTCTGTGGCAGATGCTGATTTAGGGCAAGGGGTCCGGCGTTCATCTGGAGAAAGGAGATTCTGAGACATTACTGACGCTTCCTTTGCTACACCAAAGCCAGCCCGAAGGGCTACTCCACGCTGTTTTCCGCAATGTTTGTCTTTATCCAATGAAGTGCTCCCCAAACAAGGCCACCCAGCGATTCCAATAAACCGAGGGGATATTCTCAGGGAACGAAGTTCGGGCTTTGGTTGAGCTGGTGCTTCCTAGCAGCGAGGTAGCCATCAAGCGTGCCGCGTGTTGTTGTGGCAGTGGACTCATGACTCATCTTTACTGATGACCGATTAGGGAAAGCTCTGCTGATGCCGTCGCAGAGAGGATCTTCCCGAGATGGTCAGACGTGCTTCTCGCTGCTCGATCACACCAAGGTTTTCATCAAGACTTAATACTGCAGCAGTCCTTTCCATACTGATAGCGTGTGCTGGTGCATCGGTGGCGCCCAGGAATCTACTACAATACACTGGTAGCAAATGGTGCATGCACCGGATGCACTCCCAATTTATGATGCATGGAGCCCTCATCAAAACTGACCGCAGGTCCAGTATGAGGTTGATCTTCACAGCTCGTTTGTCCAATGCCGTTGCCATTGGACTACTAGCTCAGTACCCTACCAGTAGCAGAGACAGGGACAAGCACAGCGCCAGTATTCTCTGCTGTCCTTCTTACAGTTGGGTTCATTTGAGGATCGTAAAGCACAATCATTCATTACTGTCACCGGCTTATTTTTATTCCTAGTTAATTAACCTGTCACGGGCTTGCTCTTCTGAAACCACGCTGTTGAGGCTTTTGAAGCATACTCCAACATTGTAACGTATTTCGCAACGCAACCGTTTTAGACAGAAGAAATTCGAATTTGAATCGAAATGAGACAGGAATTATGAGACAACCCAATATCTTTGCTGTGCTATCCACTTCAATAAACGACTATGACTCGATTCCTGATACATCTGGAAGCAGCAGTGGAAAAAAGTGGCGACCACGGCAGGATACTTTGTGAGTTTTGGAGAGAAAATTGCAGCACACCATCACCGATGCCGCCTACACTCAAAAGACGAGCAAAACGCTACACCCAGCCCAGTGGGCCCGTGCGGTCCAACACAACAATTTTGCAGACGAGGTCCCCGTATGTTCCAGCAGTCAACTCATCCTGCTCAACTTCGTCGATGCTTCTATACTCAGTAAATTGGAACTTCCCACGTTAGACGGAAAGATCCTCGAGTATCCGGATTTCTCGTATCTAGTATCTCGGTTTGCAACCTTGGTCGGCAATAAGGTCCAACTCGACGACACGACGAAATTCGCCGTTGAAATCGTGTCTGCGAAGTCGCGCTCTTCATGCAGTGCAAGGACTTTCTATGACTCCCAACAAATACAAGGTCGCTATGGACATCCTGGCCACTCACTTCGACGACAAAGTAACTATGAAACGTATTCTCTACACCAAGTTGTCACAACTGCCGGATTGCGATTCAGATTCCCCAATCTTCAAGCCCTGTATGACCAGAATTTCGCCTCTGTTAGACAGTTCGCGGAAGACGGAAATGACCCGAACGAAACCCGCTTAGGAGCAATCCTGCTCAGCAAACTTCCCGCCAGAGTGCGTAGTCAGATATACGACAAGACGAGTAATAGCCATATATTTCCCCGACCGAACTGTTGCATTTGCTCACTGATATAGTTCGCAAGGAAGCCGCACTATCAGAAATGGACTATCACGCACGTGCGAGCCATTATCCTTCGAGTTACGAGTTTCATGTCAAATCCCAAGCGAATCCTCAGCACTTTTCAAACTCAATGCAGAAAAGGAAAGAATGCCCCATGCCACTGTCAAAATTCAAATCACACTTCTATCGCCTGCGATACTTTCCCAACTCCACGTGATCGAAACCGTCGAGTCGAACAGCTACATTTATGCTACAGCTGTCTCTCCAGTCAACACGGTCTGGAAGCTTGCACATCCAAACAATATAGCAAATTCTGCGGAAGACGTCATCACTCATCGCTATGCCTCAAACACTCCAATGTTCGAATCAAGAAAGGGAGCCTTCACAAGCTCGCCACCCCTTCACCCCTCGTCAATCCTCGCTGCGAGCTCCGGTGTTTCACCGAAAGAAACCAAACACATCCTCGTCAGCCGAGGCCAATATGGTCCCAATTGTTAGCAGACCCTCCCATCAGAACCAAGACGTCCGCTCACAAGCCACCCTTATGTGTTCTGAATCCCTCTTCAACCCTACAGATTCATCAAAGGAAACATCTGCCATGGCATTTTCACAGGCACAGGTCCCACCCAATCGTACATCACGTACATCACAGGCGAACTAACCCAGCGAGGAAAACACCTTCGAGTGAAATCTCTGCCTACCTTAACAGAACATTTGAGGCATGCACACCCGTCTGATACGAAGAACGGGAAGGTTGCGATATCGTCATGCAAACCATTCATATTGATCGGAAATGACTACTTTTGGAATACTGTCTTGTCAAATGATTTCTACTACGAAACACTGCCGAATGGCTATAGCATGCTTCACACCAGTGTCGGGAACATTCCTTTTGCAAGACTTTGAATCTAAAAGGCATTGCGACTTTCCTTCATGAAAGTGATCTAAACAATCCAGCTGTCCACGACAATCTTTCTGAATTTAAAGGAAGCGATCACGCTGGCTTCCACGCTGGATTTGCTACCCTCGCGTTATCAATCGATAAGGTATGAGGCAGTAATTGTTAGACGAGTGTAAGCCCATGGAAGATATGATACGATGAGATAAGAAGGCGCGGCTGCTTGAAAGAGGTGCACTCCAGTATGAAAACGGGACGACAACTATGACGGTATCATATCTAGCACGCTCTTATCGTACCCCTTTCCATCGATGAGTCTTGGTTTTTGCTGAACGGAAGTGGATTTCGGCGCGCTTATAACTCCCGTGATAAGGCGCAGGCCAACTGCCACTGAAAGCTTCACTGTTTCCTAACATAGGGCAGGACCCCTATCCTCCCAGTCACACAGATTTCCTTATCGTCCGAGCTATGAGAATTAATCGCTGAGGCAACTTTCCTTTAAATTTATGAAACACAAAGAGGCACGAAAATTAATTCAAAAGAGTCCCAAAAGTTCACAAACCCGTAAAACTCTCCAAATTCAAAAAAGCTCGCCAAATTGTCGGGGAGAACTCCTTTGAAAATCGTTCTGCTATATTTCGGTGTTTAACAGTTCCCTTCTTCAGGCAGCTAGAAATACATTGATTTAACCACTGTAAAAACAATAGATGCGCTTCCCGAACCCATATACTACGCCTCGGCCTTCCCAATGACAGGACATTGGCAATTGAGAAATTGACGTGGCCCATTAAAAGCCACGTGGCTACACGTGCTAAATCTCGATGACAACAGGTGAACATCACGATGTGCTCCGCAGATGTTTCTTGAATCGATGCCACGCTTGATGCCGACGTCAAATTTTCTGCAAATTGCACAATTCTGGTCATTGAAGGCGAGGGTAATGTACGCTACATGTGTATGCCTCAGCCAAGGATTTAGCTGCCTGTACGGGAGCCGCGCCGTTTTGGAGTGGATTAAGTGACTTACGCTCACCCTCTGCGTAAATAGTAGGCGACGGACTGTGACGGTCATTGGCATGTGATATCAAAAGAAATAATGGCATTGGGCACGTAGTTAATTTAATAGTTGTAGAGCGTCACGTACTAGTAGCGTCAAAGTCTTCGCCGAAATTGTTTTTCGACTGTAATTTTTTCCGCTGAATCAAATCAATTCAAATTTTACATGTTTTAGAAACGGTCTACTTAACTTAAAGCAGCTATTTGTTTCGGATTGAGAACGAGTTAAGAATGGAAAAATCATTTCATTAGAAATTATCGCGTATGAGCAATTCCAAGTAGGTTTCAAATTATCTCTAGCAACTTACAATCAACGAAACAATCTTACGCATAATGAATAACACTGGGCAGGTCCAATACTTTGTTAATGATCTTCTGGGTTCGCTGAAATCTTAACAAGGCCTAAGTAAGGAATCAGTCATTAAACGCACTGTCTACTAGGGCAGCTTCCTCCACTTCTCTTGAAATTTGACGAGTTTCTCCCCCATATTCCTGGTTCTAATTTCCACCAAAGGTATCCCTACTCTTTCCCATAATGTTTCGATGGCGCTCGAGACATTGGTGTGAATTGTTCCTTTCGTTGAAAGCGCGCCATGCTGTCGAAACCAATCCTTCGCAGTAATGGTGCGATGCTTTTGGTCGCTCTATAGCTAGAAGGCGAACTCAGTCACGTACAGGTACATACTAGCGGATACGAAACTCCTTCTAGAATATCTGATACGTCGGCATTCACCACGTCTCTAATCCTGTGTGGTTGTAAAACTTCTTTTACGGACTACCCCACGCGAGCCTCCGCCAAGTTTTGCATAGGGCAGTTAATTCCTTGGATCGAAACGTTTTTCCTCAGGAACGCACTCCTATTTCAGTCGCCGGCAAACCTCATGAATTCACTCTCGTTGGTCCGCAGGACGTTGTAGCTCTATGGGGATCCCCACTTTAGGTGTGGGTAAGCACACTTCGCCCCCGACCATTTCACCGCCGACTAAGTTCGCAGTATTCGCAATCATGTGAAGGCAGCCTGTACTGTTGGGTTCTAGAAGGAGCTCTTATCCACGTGTATAACAGCTGCCCGCGACTGAGCTCGCCTTCTAGCATTAGTGCGACCAAAAGCATCACACCTTCACTGTGGAGCAGTGGCTTCGCCAGCATGGCGCGCTTTCAACGAAAGGAACAATTCACACCAATGTCACGAGCGCCATCGAAACATTATGGGAAAGAGTAGGGATACCTTTGGTGGAAATTAGAACCGGGAATATGGGCGAGAAACTCGTCAAATTTCAAGAGAAGTGGAGGAAGCTGCCCTAGTAGACAGTGCATTCAATGACTGATTCCTTACTTAGGCCTTGTTAGTGTTTCAGCGAACAAAGAAGATCATTAACAAAGTATTGGATCTGCCCAGTGTTATTCATCATGCGTAAGATGTTTTGTTGAATTGTAAGCTTGCTAGAGTAATTTGAAACCTACTTGGAATTTGCTCATACGCGAGAATTTCCAGTAAAATGATTTTTTTCATTCTTAATTCTTTCTCAATCCGAAACAAATATGCCGTACAAGTGAAGTAGGATCATCTCTAAAACATATTAAAATTTGAATTGAATTTGAATTTGATTCAGCGGAAAAAGTTACAGTCGAAAAACAATTTCGGCGAAGACTTTTGACCACTACTATAGTTCGTCCTTACTATTTATTTCGGGTGAAAGTTTTTTATTTCTAATGCCTCCAATAGCCTCCTTTCCACCGGGTTCCCTATGGAGCAGTGTAGCACCTTAATGGTCAACGAAGACGGTTCTCCATATGTGTGCTTTGTGGTGCGGTGCTTAGAGAAGCTGCTGTTTGGATACGAGACTGGGTTTTGTAACGCCCTTCTATGTTCATCCAAACGCTTGTAAACAGGCCTTTTTGTTTCCCCAACATACTTTTCTCCAGCAGCTCCGGGACAGCACAATACTGGGAGACTTTCTGAACTTGTTAAAAAATTTTGGAAACTAGAAGCAGTTGGAATAATAGATGATCCCACTCAAAGGGATGATGCCGTTTGTCTCCAGTTATTCAATGACACTATCGAGTACAGTCACAAAGAAAGTCGATACGCGGTAAACTATCTTTCAAATACGACCCAACACAGTTACCCGACAATTACAAATTAGCTTTCTCGAGACCTTTCAGCTTGATAAAATCATTGAGAGTAACCCATTTTACAAGAAATACGACGACTTCATCAAGGATCGACTTCGAAGAGAAATTATAGAGAAAGTGCCAATTGCAGAATTGCCGAAGCCGTCCATTACCTGTCTCACCACGGTGTGATGAAATTCGACAAAAACAACGCCATCAAAGTTAGATGCGTTTTCGACGGTTCCGCTAAGACGAATGGAAATCCCAGTATAAGTGAGATACTCCACCGAGGACCAGTGCTCCTACCTGACCTCACTGGAATACTCATACGTAGCAGACTTCCTCCAGTTATGATTATCAGTGGCATTGAAAAATTATTTTTGATGATGGCACTCCACCCTGACTGCAGGGACTACACGCGTTTCTTGTGGATGAATGATGCAACGCAACCATTAACCTCCATTAATATCGTTACCTACTGATTCGCGCGTGTACCATTTGGTCTCATAAATTCTCCATTCCTCCTATCCGGTACCCTCCATCACCAGCTGACCAAAGTAGTGACTCCACTTTCACAAGCACTTTCTGAGCACTTATGTAGGCAACGTATGTATGTGTTTCACGGCGTCAGTGATGTTGCCGATGAAAAGAAGTTCTACGCTGACTCCAAAGAACTGTTTCGTTGAGCAGGCATGAACTTGAGGGAATACGCCAGCAATGCTACAGAACTAAACAAGCTTTTCGAAGTAGACGATGGAAGCATCGCCCAAATACAAAAACTTCTCAGCTTCAGGTGGAACATTCATAACGATGAAATGATTATCAGTCTCCCTCGAAAACCACCAGCACAGACCAAGTGGACAAAACGTAAAGTGCTGAAAGAAGTAGCCAGTATTTATGACCGCTGGGTATTCTGTCACCAGTTACACTCATTGGAGAACTTTTCCTCCAGTCATTGTGGAAAAGTGAACAGAGATAGGACGACGGGCTCTCCGACGATTTAGCCACCCACTCGCAACACGCAATCGAACCAGCCAATACGTCAGACTTCGACCTTCATATATTTACGGATGCACCGGCAAATGCGTATTGCGCAGTAGCATACTTAGTGCAACCCCATGTGGGTTCCCCTCATAAAGTCTCACTCGCGATGGCAAAGTCGAGATTGGCTCCACTCCACCAATCGGTAATCATTCCCCGCCTGGAACTGTTGACTCTCGTTATCGGTGCTGAATTGCTTACATTCCTTTCAACGCAAATTAGATCGATCGCAAGCTAGAGTTGCGTGAAAAGTTTATATGGACCGACAGCACTGTTGCCCGTAGGTGGACAAATACTGATAAAACAGTGCCAGTGTTCGTTCGCAATCGAGTGTAGACGATTCGAGCACTTACTGGGTGTCCCATAAATATTGCACCACTTTTTTTTCTTGTAACTTCTTTCAAAATGGATGTATTTTCAAGAAGTTTTGCAAAAATGTTAGCAATACATTTACATATTGAAAGGAATGAGAATCATTGGATATGCTCCCCTGTCGTTGTGAGTATGACTCCCAGTTGCTTCGAACGCAACCCTACTGTGGCCCGCATGGCATCTTGGGGTTTCCTCTTCGAAACTTTGCTGAGAAAAAGCTTCGGCTCATCCATGTGGATGCAATATTTAGCGCAGGCTCTGACCTATTACATAGCCCAGATAGGATGGTCCAGCCCGTTGAAACCAGCGGATATGAGAGCCATTCGTTTGAAAATAAGAAATTGAAAAGAGTGCCTTAACAGCGCTCCTGAACAATCTTTGCCTCCTGTACAGAATCTGGGCCCTATTGAAAAGAATCTTCACCCCTCTTTAAAGTGGCTAGATGCCTCAGTAATATATGGTGCACCGAAATGTTCCTTGGCTCGATCTAGTATCAAGTTATATTCCTTTCTAAACAGTCAGTGATGGTGAGCGACCTGTAGTTGATACCATTGTCCAGCCATGAAAGTTCGGCCGCTGCTTGCGGCGAATATTCCTCTCCCTCTGTCTGACTTCCTCAAGACCTCATGCGAGCACCTTCGAAGTTTGAAGATTGTAGCTCCGCTCCATAGGAGGAATTTTGTCACCGAGGAAAACAGTGCCCGCATTTTCGGCCCTCACCACCAGCCCTTTAAACTTTTTGTCTCTGCTGTGCTCTTCCCGTTGGATTGAGCAGTGGTGCTTATGAAACTTATCGTGCACTGAGAGCAGCTGTTATCCGACCACCTTCCACATGGCTGTGTTTAGAAACTCCAGCGTTCTGATCACCTTTCTCGAGCCAACCCAGGTATAGCAGTCGTTTTGCTTCTTAATGCTTTCCTAAGATCCAAGATCTCAAATTTTGTGGGGTGGCCACAACAAAGACTATTTTGATTGGGCTTCCCATTAGTACACGGTAGGCCACGGAGCGGATGAAAATCCAAAGAACCGCTATGCTCATCACCGGATGTCCAACACACCTGTGTGAGAGTCTAGGCACTCATATGAAGTTTAGGGGCACCATGAGATGCAGACCGAACACTACGCCGTGGAACTTGGCATGGTCATTGAGAAGAGGATATAGGATTGAAAGGTCTGCCAATCTCAGAAGAGAAGCTATAAATACCTACAGAATTTAAGCTCAAAATTTGGTGCAATATTTATGGGACACCCTGTACTTTAGACCTTATTATGCGCCATGTCCCGAAGGAAGACAATCCAGCGGACATTGGTTCTCGTTGAACCACATTCACTGAGTTACAAGCAAAGACAAAATGGTGGAGCGGTCTAGATTTCTTAGAGTTGGAGGAAGCAGCCAGGCCGTTTACGACTGGAACAACTAGCGAACGATCCAACGCATAGATACACCTCAAAAATCAGTAATAAAAGCGCAGAACCCGATTGTCATCCCGCAATCTCGTCCGAAACAACACCATCATCCACGCCGCTTCTGAACACATTCCGCTTCAGCACATGGACTTCCCTACTCCAAATAGTTTTCCTGATCTTACGTTTCTTAACCATTATATCCCCAAGGCAGCTTCACTCTTCGGCCGCCACCATGCTGTACTACGCGCAAGAGCCGATACTGTTTCGATTTGCCCAATCCCAAAATCCTCCCAGTCCCGAATTGATACGCCAACTCCATTTGTTCAAATGTCCACATCTTTGGAGATCCCAAGGACGCATCAATAATAGCAGTCTGCATCAAGACACTATCACTCCTATATTCCTTTCCAGTACAAATCGCATTACGGGTCTTTTCATACTCCATACCCACTCAGAAAGCGGCCACTGCGGTCTTAATCACACGCTAACTCAGCTTCGGCAGCGCGTTTGGATCCCACAAGGAAGAACAACTGCCAAGAGAGTTCCGAGGAACGTTGTTTCTACTGCAAACGTTATACTGCCAGACCTTTTTCCCTTCCTCCATTCCCACCTCATCCTTTCCTTCAAGTTACGCCACCACAATACCCTTTCCAAAGTGTCGGCATGGACTTTTCGGACCAACGCTTTACCGCAACTTTGACGCTACATCCTCAAGGTATTGGGTTCTCCTTCTAACGTGTCTCAATACACGTGCCATATATGTCGACACGATCCTTGATATGACCAGCCTCAAGGTTCTCCATGTCCTACGACGCTTCATAGCCACTATTGGTTGTCCCGATTTTATACTGTGCGACAATGCCCGTTCTTCAAAGCCATTGCAAAATGTTATTTGTCACTCCCCAATCCCGATGTCGACAATGATATACTAGACTACTGCACAAAAAGACAACTACAGATCAAGTTCATTCCCAGTCTAAGCCCTTGGCAAGGAGGTGTTTGCGAAGAAATCGATATTTTCAAGAAATCGTTCACGCACACCGTTCGAAATCGACTGCTCAGCATCGAAGTCGTCAGGACACTGCTGTAGGAAACAGAAGCGAAAGTTAACACCCGACCTATAACGTACATCACCGATGATATTGATCATATTCCGTTACGACCGATCGACTTCCTACGACCGTATGCCCAACTCGCTGGACCCAGTCTCCAAGACGACTCTGACGAATGGATTCACATCCCAAGCACACGCGAGTCGCTAGTAGATGTGTAAAATTCGCACATCTGAGCTATTCTCAGCTTTCTGGAAACGATTGCCCACAGAATACCTCATTTCGTTACGGGAGCAATACAAAGATGAACACTCCAAGCCGAGATCACATGAAGTGCAGCCGCCAAAACAAGGAGATATTGTACTTGTCGATGACCCTCTCCTCAATCGTGACCAGTGGAAGATGGGAGAAGTCATCGGATCTGAAGACCACTTTTAACGATCAATCGAAATACGACTTCCATCGAAAACAATCATTACGCGCCACAATAATATGGTCTGCAAACTAGAGGTCCATCCAACCTATGCGCAACCGCAGTCATCATTATAAGGTACACAAATACCGAGGACACGGCAGCAACCGACATTCTCATCGCCGTAGAGAGGATAGAAACGTATCAACCAAAAAGATGTCCTTTGCAGCGATTTTTGTGTTCAATGTTATTGTTACTCGTTTATCGATGTCCACTGCTAAGATTCCTCCTGCCACTGCCTATTCTTGCCTTGGAAGTTTCTGTAACGTACAGAAAAATGATCTACCTCGTTTACTTCCAACAGACTAATTGTTGATTTCCGCTGTTTTCACTCTCATTCCAAAACATCACTGATATATAAGCTTTCGACGCTAGTATGTCTCAATTTATTTATCCCTGCTGTGCTATCCACTTCAATAAACGACTACGACTCGGTTCCTGATACATCTGGAAGCAGCAGTAGAAAAAAGCCCTAGCCTAGTGCTGAAGTACATTCTTGTCACAAACGATAAGTGTAACTTCACGTGTTGCCATGATTGCGAAACACTGGACACCTCGCAAATAAAAACACGTTCACAAACATGAACCTGACAAAAGTTTCTTTATTTTCAGTCGAAAAAATGACCGCAATCGATACCTTGCAAAATCTTTTGGGATCGTTTTGAAACATGTGTTCACTGTTAAGCGCATGTGAGCGGTGGTTAATGCTCCCTCCACAGACTTCTGTCGTAGCAATTCGCAGCGATTGAAGCTTTAAAGCTTAAAAATCGTTTTTTCACTGAAAGTATGTTTGACTGCTCCTGCATTTATAAGCTCACAAAATGCGTCAATTGAGGCGAAGCAGTAGGAGTTCTATGTGGTGCGATGGACCTCCAGACTATCTTTCACAATATGCCAATTATTTGATTGCCGAGTTCCAGATACTTGAGAAAAAAACCACAATTGTTCGGCCTGCCATGCTCATTGACGAGGTATTCTGAAATCGATTGAAGAGTGCTTAATGCAATGCACGGTAACTGGCGGACTTTCAGTGCTACCAGACCTCAATATCGCATCTAAAAGAAATGAAATCATAGCGAAAGGATATTTTGTGATCTGACTGATCACATTTTATTAAGAGCATAAAATTTTGCAAGGACATTTCGATTTTCCGCCCGTCTATCGCTTGATCCGCAACTTTGTTGGTGGTGTCAAGAAGAGGGATCCTCAAATAAACCGCACGACTTGCTCGGATGCGTAGAACAAAGGACTGCAACGCCGATTCGAGAACTGCAACCGGGAAAGCAATCTTAGGGCTCATGAAGCTCAAATGTTTCATTCATGGAGAGCTGCAGTCAACGAAGTCCACTGCTATTGGTGAACAATATGTTAGCAAGTGGACTGGTTTCCCGGCATGGTTTCCTGCAAATCTGAGAAACTTTGTTTTATGTCGGAAACGCTCGGCCACGAATTACGAAGAAGGTTCAGGAAAGGTCTCCAAGCTCACTATAAAATGATCTATCTGACCCACTTAGTCTGTACAGCAAACATGGTAGAGACAGGCTACCATACACCTCTTTTGCCATCGAAGGTACTAAAATGGGGGCAGTTTGATGATCCGGACCTACTCGGAGTCAACCTCTTCGAGCTTTTCGCATCTAAGACTCGGTATTTCCGAATGGCCGGCAACCTGAAGTTGCCTGCTGAAGAGCAATGTTTCTACGATTATGGTGGTGTATGTATTCAGCAGTTGTTGACTGCATTAAAGAAGAAAACGATTTTGAAAAAGTTGCCAAATGCGCAAAGACTTTTCCCGCAACCTAATATACACCCCCGGAATCGGAACTCGTTCGTCTGATAGTTCAGCAAATTCACTGCGATAATGCTCACTGCAGGAAGGAACGACACTGATTATTGCGCGTCAGAGGTTTTGGATCCTTCGCGCTTCTAACTCTAAAGGATACGGTAATTAAGAATGTGCTTAAAATGCTTCTCATGCTGGAATGCTAGCCACTCACCGCATACTTATGTACCTCGAGCGTTGTCTCCATGTGCTATTTATGAAGCAGTAATTGTTGGACGAGTGTAAGCCCATGGAAGATATGATACGATGAGATAAGAAAGTGCGGCTGCTTGATAAGAGGTGCACTCCAGAATGAAAACGAGACGATAACGATAACGGTATCATATCTAGCACGCTCATATCGCACCCCTTTCCATATCGATAAGTCTTGGTTTTTGCTGAACGGACGTGGATTTCGGCGCCTTATCACTCCTTTGATAATGCGCCACTGCCACTGAAACTTCACGTGTTGCAACACTGAGCAGGACCTCTATCCACTTCAATACATAGGTGCCGTTATCGTTCCCATGAAAATTATCGTGATCACTTCCTTTAATGGATGAAACTTCATGTTTCCTTGATTCCCTCCTCTGAGCGAGACTGTGCGCGCGGATTGACCACGCTCCAGCACTTCTCCGTGTCGGTGGCTGCCCACACATCAATGATTGGCATTAAATTATGTGAAAGACATAATAGTCAATACGGGGGAGGGTCGTATTGATACCCTCGGAAAAGGAAGAGAGCCGAAAAAATTATGGAATTTGCGCAACGTAGGGTTGAAACTGTTGAAGAGCTAGGAAAATTATGGGGTAAGAGTCAACAAGGAAAAGCCCCACCTCTTTTGGAAAAAGAGATTGCGGCAACCCTAAGTCAGAGAGCGATCGAGGGTGTTGACATTGGGAACAGTATTTGAAACCATGGAGCAAGATGAGGAAACAATGGCGGGTATCTGTGGTATGTTGAAGACCGGTGCTGGCTACGTCAAGAATGAAATAGCTGCTCCTCAAAAACGGTGGAAGAGTAAAGAAGAGTCGATAGGGGCCCAAAGCAGGATGGGCCATCAAGCGGAACGACAAGCGGAGGACAGGCGTTGATTGGCAGACAATGCCTTCGATAGGGCAGGGATATGGCGATACCTGGCTATGCCCTCCCTCGCCAGCCTCAACCTTGCAGGGACGGGAAGATAGACATGCAGCATCTCAAAACCTACTGGCGTACCTTAGGTCAACCTTAGGGCATGCGCAGACCCTGACGTCTTCAGAGGTGCTAGAAATGAGAACTTTGAAAAGTTTATGAGGCGATTCAAAAGAAAATATGAGATGGTCATAGGGTGCGAGGCCACTGTGATAGAAATCCTGGGTGACGATCACCTAAGGGGTCGAGCGAAGAGCGTGTTCACTGCCCTTCCTCAGAGGGTAAAGGAACAAGGTCTAGACGCAGTCATCTCAGAAATGGCCAGGCTTTTGTCGCAGGAGTCGACAGTAGGAAGGATGAGAGCCCTCACAGAGCTGAGGAATCTGAAAATGGGGTCCGGCCAGGAGGTGGCCGAATTCTGTATGACCTTGGAGTGACTAGGGGGACAGGCAAACCCAGACTGTACGATTGAGGATAGGTTAGTATACGCCCAAATTCTCCTCGATGATCTCAGTCATTGGCCAAAACACTTCCAATTGGTAGGTGCTTTGCACAAAGTGGATCCTCGCAGAGCATACGAGGAAGTCAAGCAGTTAACGCTGGGTATAGAGCAGTCTAGAATTATGTTTAGTGCGGGTAGGCGGACCGGTGTAAGCCAATGGAGAAACAGAGCCACACAGTATCAAGACTATGGTGATTTGAGTAGATCACAGGAAGCAGTCTTCGCACAATGAACCGGAGTACGTCGGAGAGGAGTATCCCATAGTAAGAGAAAATACATGGCGGAGCGATCATCGTGCAGGTCTAAGTAGCAGCGTAGAGGTCCACATACAGACAGGGCATAGTAATTTTGGCCGGGAGTGCTCCTCGCAGGGGAACGTTGAAAACAGAGAGTTTTACAGATGCCCGAAGTGTCATATAGCTAAAGATTGTCCACAACAATCAGCAGAGATGAACCAGTTGAAGGTGAAATGACCGTTTCAGAAATTATTAGACGAGCCCGCAATTCAGGGATGACAGTGAAAGAAGAATGTAGAAACACAGGCCTAATAGGTGGCCGAATAGTGAAGCAGTTGAAGCTGCTAGGAGGCAGCAGTCCAGCACTACTAGACACAGGTTCAATGAGTAGCGTAGTACCTGCAAATAGTACAGTCAAAGCGCGAGATAGAGGATTTGACGTGGACGCATTAAAATTGGTTGAAAAATCCCAGTTTGCATCTGTCTGGGATGCGTCGATTAAGAGGATGGACTTCCTTGGAGCAGTACACGTGGAGGCCAAGCTAGAAGGAGGGAACCGAGGCTTGGTGCCGTTCCACATCAGCCCGAGCAAAGAGGACATGATTATACTAGGTACTAATGCCCTGAGGAAGTTAGGTGTGGAGCTTTCCATAGTTGCGGACAAAAAGGGAAGCAATAAACAGTGGACGGAAGGAGATGAGAGCAATGCAACGGTGGTAAGGCGCATTCACGTACCTACCCGCAGCGCAGCCTGTTTGCATGTGCGTAGTCATAGAAATTCCTCAACAGAACTAGGGGAGAGAGGGATCAGTGGAAGAAGTTTAGCACATGGAGAATACACCGTTCAAAATCAAAAGGTCCACCTTCACTGAAGCGAAGAACGGATCTAGGAGATTACGTAAGAATGGGATGAGTATGCCAAAAGTTGAATATGAACCTGTAAGAGAATCTGCATCCAAAATTTAACCCTTTGACGACCTGGTAGTATTGAAGGTTCCCTGAGCTTCATAATTTCGATGCAGGATATGTGTGAATTGAAGACTCTTTTTTCTTATAAAACTTTACTGATAACGTTTCGGGCATAAGCCCTTCTTCAGATCAACTGAAAAACATTGCACATACAATTCAACACAACAAACATTGTTAAACAGCAAGTGCATCCTACCTATGCCGTCCTACAGTAAAGGAGGGGGAGAGGGGAGGACGGGATGGTTGAGAACGGAAGAATGAGGGAGGTATGCTACGTGGGCTTTTGAATGGGTTGAGGGAAGGGAATGATCTTCTCATAGTCACGAAGACTTCCCTCTCGCACGTCGCACAGCCAGCCTCACATTTCTATAAGTCTCATTGCCATCTTCATTTCCTCCTTGTTGTTGATCGGTGGTGCACATTGCTTTATTTCCAATGCTTCCCTTATCTTTCGCTCGACCGGATCAACTATATTCCTGAAGAGAATGACAACACGAAGTTCCGGTGGCCTTTCTTGTGCGTGTCGAAGTGTGCGGTGTTTTGAGAATGGACTCTCTGGGTAGTTTTGAGGACTACGCAGGGCTCTTATCTGCTCGTCCATTCTCTTGTAGAGTGGCCTTCCCGTTTCTCCAATGTAACAATCTCCGCAACCGAGGCACTCCACCTTATACACAACACACCTCATCCGGCACGCCTTCTGCTCCCCACAGATCGTGCAATTTGTTCGTTCGCACCGATTCTCATATGGACGTGATGATGTCAGAATGCGTTGTAGCGAAGGTGGTGGTCGGAACACCAAGTTTATTGGGAGTCCTGATCTTCTTACAACGCGGTCTATGTCCATAGCGAACTCATCGGTGATAAAGGGTAGTAAGAGAGGGGTGCCAGATGGTGATCGACACGGTTTCCAAGTACGGTGTTGTCCTCTTTTATAACCGTTTTGCCGCAATATTTCATCCACTTCGGTCATCACCTCTTGAACGTTCACGGAAGTCAGGTTACATGATGTCGAGATCATGTGGTGAACGACATTCAGTTTCATGTGGAGAGGGTGGCAGCTACGGGCGTGTATCAAGATGTTACGAGATGCCCCTTTCTTATACCACATTGCACTGATTTGACCGTCCATGATTCTGACTTTCGTGTTTAAAAATGGTAGAAATCCGTCTGGCGAAGGTTCTTCCGATGTCAGTTGTATCGACTCATGCGCTGAATTCAACTTAGAAAACGTCTCTCGCAAAGCAGCTCTTGTTTTGCCGACGATAAAGATGTCATCGATGTATCGTCCAAAATATAATGGTCCAATGCTTGAATTGAACATTTTTCGCCCAATTGATGCCAAAAGGCACACAAGCATCGCACGCAACTTTATTATCAAATGTGGTCAATGACCATAAGTTGCGGTTCGGCAGTACCTCGAATGTACTGTGGACACCCTACTCCATCAAACAAGCCAATATTGCTCAATCTGTGGCGGAACCGACCAGACAGAATCAACTGGTTTTACAACCGGATCCTCTGCGCCACCACTTGCTCCTCACACACACACACTAAACTTTCAATTCTTCACCCTAATAGCTTCAAAGAAATGTAAGACGACAGTCACTTCCACGGGAAGACACAACTGAGGCAAGAGAAAATTGCACGAAATCTCTATCTGGAAAATCGTTCCATATACGACTGTGATGAATATTGACAATGTTAATTTTTGATCAGTTGTTTTATTAGCAAAGAGTTATTATATGAGCTGAAGCTTCTAGAAATACAACGAACGTGATTGATCGCACACCATAACGAGGGGTGAGTCTTTAGCTAAGTCGGCCTTTTACAGCCTACTGAGTCGACCCCAAACTTCATGCTTTTGACCCTCAATATCAACGACATGGAAGAGTTCTAACGACAGTGGTGGAGAAGTGCACACTATAGTCAGATTTTCCTGGATCGATTCAATAAGCAGAAAAACGAGGACTCCGGCTATGAAATCAGACTGCTCCGTTGCTCGCGATTGTTTCATGGATAGTCCTTGAACGACAATAGCTCTGTCATCAGGAATA